GATGATATATATGATAGGTTTTGCCTTTAGGGATCAAGGATGCTAAATGCAGCCTATAAGATCAGAAGGCCTCCAAATTTTTAGGAGATCAAATATTACTTTTCTTTTGAATAATTTATGATACTTAGAATATCTGGGTTTCAGTCTTCCATTTATCATTAACTTGCTGCATGGTCTTAGGCAAGTTATTAATCCCTCTGTGCCCCCTTGTCTGTAAAGTGAGAATAATAGTATTTATTTCGCAAGTGGGAAATAAGATAGGCTCAGCCCAAGCCAAGCCCCCCACCAAAAAAAATCCTCAACTTTTACAAAAAAAAGAAAGAAAGGGCCAGCCAAATAGCTCAGCTGATTAACGTGCCTGCTTAGGCAGACCCAGGGGCAGGAGTTTCTATCCCAGGCCTGCCGTGCTGGCCCCACCCCCAGGGCAGGTTGAGACTGCAATTGAGACTAGGCATGGTGGCGTGCACCCCGTAATCCCAGCACTTGAGAGGCTGTCAACAGGAGGATCATTAGGAGTCTTATCTACACAGTGAGACCCTCTACACCCTGTACACACTGTCCTAAATAGAAAAAAATTCTTGTTTATATTAATATTCAATAAATTACCAAAATTTTTATTATGATGATGATTTGTGCTTTTAAAAGTTATTTGTCCTCATTCTCCATTCTATAACATATTTGAGGACTTTTGAAAAACAGGTAGTAACCAGGTGCACACCTCTTTTCCCAGCACTGCGGAGGCTGAGACAGGAGGATTTCTATGAGTCTGAGCTGCATACTTAGACTCTGTACCAAATAAACAAAAGATTAAAAAAAAACAGCAACAGCAGGTAGTAAGTCTGAGTTACAGATCAGTGGCAGAACACTTGCATAGCATGCGTGAGGCCATGGGTTCAGTCCTCAGCATGAAAAAATAAGATAGTAAACAACATAAAATTGATAGGTTATGAACTAGGCTAAAGGTCACACAGAATAGAGAATGAGATAGAGTCAGAGGTAATTTAGACAACAAGAATATATCATATGATGAAAGCAGGCTCCACAGATAGGATTAAAAAATTGTTAGAGCTTCCCAGCAGCCAACACAAAAAGGGAAACACAAATAGTTACCTGACCGGCAGCGACCACGAGACAAAAACAGATCAATTACACAGCTCTTCCTGGTCCTGAAACCTGGGATAACTTTCTCCTGGCAGCTCTTTAAAGCAATCCCTGTTGCCATAGAGATCCAAGTCTTCAACATCCTCCCTGCCTAAACACAATGCAAGTTTTGTAGTAGAGGAGTGTTTTCTAGAACTTGATTGACTGAAGTTCCGGAGACATAATCCCAGGGCACACCC